TGTCATATTAGGTGGATCAGAATTCGAAGGTATTAATCGATGGTTTAATTATTTTTAATATACATTATTTTAAAAAATATGATACATTATATCAATTTAATTCAATTCTGTTATATTAGGTGGATCAAAATTTAAACAAGTATTAATCGGTGGTTTTATATAAAATTCATTTTAAAATTAATTTTGAGTTAGATTTTGAAGCTTCATTATTAAGTGCTACAATATCGTTTTTTCTCTATTTACTATTCAATTTAAAAAGTCATAGATAGTGCTAAAATATTGTTCTAATTAAAGTGATAGGATCAGGACGTTAAACTGAGATGTAAAACTTTTATTTAATCTTGTTTTATTTATAAGAAAAAAATGTGTATCGAAATAATAGATCGATATTCGATTTGTAGATATCTATCATTTCAATTTGTATGTATTTATGTATCTATCATTTACAATGCATTAATTTCATCCTACACTCTAGAAAATATTGATACAGATTTAACATCATATCTTTTAATTTTAATTTTCTAGATATTGTGTATCTGTGTTCTGTCACTCTTGTCCAAATTGCAATTCAATTGCGAACGGAGAAATGTATGTGCCAAATTTCGTTACGATCTCATATTTATTACTATATTTATTATTATATTTCCGCGCGTCTCAATTCAGACGCGTTTCAGCACTTCGAGTAGGCCAATCCCGATGTATCAACCCAAAAAAAAGGTCGATTGTCGCTTACCTCATTGAAAAAGTGGCTCTCTTAGCGGCGGGCTGCGATCAGCACGCCGGTGTTCCTCCGTTTCCCGTCTTTGTAATCATCGTTGCGTAAATGAAGGACGTAACTTCCACTGTTTCACGATCAATGTCACGATAAGCGATACGTTCTCGCGAAAACGCGACCGTCAGTTACGAACACTTGCATAGTCGCGCGACGCACGACGTGACGAACCTGATCAAATGGCGACCGGCAATCCGATCGTCCGTAACAATCGTCAGGTGAATACACACGTGCGTCGATCACTCACACCAATTCACACTCGCATTTATTTCGAGCTAGCAATCATGCTCGCACTCGCATTGATTAACGAGTATTTGCGTTGACACTTGGTGATAACTCGGTTTCGTTGGAAATCAAATAGCTGCATTCAGCAAAAAAAAAAGCAGCTTTGCGATGTGTTGTAAAATTTTTTAATATGATCTTGTCCTTAATTGTCCTCACTGGATCTAAATATATATGAACTATTCATACATTAAAGAATTTTAACAATATCGCAAAGCTGCTTTTTCTTGCTGAACGCAGCTATTGAATTGTAAAATTGTTTTTTCTGAGAAATGTGACCAAAATTTAATGAATTACGAATGATCAGAGTGTAATCACGATACCAAGTAGTTTAGTAGCGTTAAATTTTATAGCCTTCACATTTATATTTATTATTTTTATTTTTTATTAATCACTTCTATATAACTTATAACTTTTATCACTTTGAGTGATCAAGATCGAATTTAGATTTATTTTATTCACTAATATTTTAATCGGAACTTAAAATATTCTACGTGCGAGATTCGCGACTGATAATCAGAATTTTTTTTTAAATGAATTCCAGGAGACCACAATGCGTTTCAATTCAAATAAGTACATTGCCGATACTCGACAATGATTTCTTCTTAGAATGAAGTCAAGGTATACTCGGAGAAGGACGAAAAACGTATTCGAGTGGAACGTCGGAACAACCTCGTTCACCTCGTTATCCCGATCAGTTCGACCTAACGGGATCTTGAAGGACCGTTCTCCAGGAAAAACTTCGGAAGAAAAACTCTTGACAGCACCATTTGTTAGTATCAACGACGCTTGCCGCAATGAACAATGACTCTTTCAGTTAACACTACTTTGACGAAACGCTACGCGACGCAACGCTGAGCTGAAGGTTGACCAACCCGTTATACCTCGACCGGTGATCGAGTAACTATGAAACTTGACGTGACGAAACCACGAACAAATGCTTCCGATGATACTGCTTGTATATTCAAAGAGGATCGGTTTCCAGACGTAGGATCACGATGGAGATCCCGAGGAGGACTTACTCGGCGACCTCCTATTATAAATAGTTGCGACCGAGACGACTAGAGGCTCGCGACCAAGTGTAACGGACGTGAAAAGAGGGACCAGAAGAAGGAAGAGGACGGCGGTCAAGCCAGAAAGAAATGGCGATATGTCGGGTGCTAGTGATGGATTCGAGCGCCCGCCAAGATAGTTGAAGTTCAAAGTTCAAACAACTGCAGGAGGGAATGCTAATTGTAATGTTATTCTACAATGTGCATTTTTCCTGTTTCTTGCTTTCTACTATTTTTTACATTTTGTCTTTTTGCTTCTTATCTGGTTTTTTGTTTTATGTTATCCAAGATAAAAATTACCGAAGTTTGAAAGAAACAAGAAATACATAGCAAGAAATATAATACAATTGTCGATAAAACGGTTGCAAAGGAGAAAAAGGCAAAGAGTAAAAAACAAGAAACAAGAAACAAAGAACACAGAATTGTAGAATAGGCTTAAACGACATGCACACAACAATTATATAGGTCTGTTTTCTATAACTGAAGTAGTATACATTTTTAAAATGAGATAAATATATATTTGATATTTAGCAAAAGCGAAAAGATAGTTCTAGTACGATTTAGTGCATTTTTATAGGAATAAAAAACAAACCTTTTGCAATCTAAAGAGACCGAGACCAAAATTGAGGAAAGATGTGCAAATATATATAT